TTTCTCCCCTCAGCCGAGTTTCTCCCCGCGGCAGAGCTGCACCCCGCGGGGCCGAGCCGCTCTGCCCGTTGGCAGGTGCCGTGCGAGCAGGAGCATCAGCCGAGGCTCGAAGCGCTGCTGGTCCTGCGGGAATCGGTAAGAAACTTTCTGCTGGTTTGTGAAATAGGATGAGCCAGAGGCACATTGTGCCAGGAGGGAAGGAAATACAAAGAGAGGGATATAAGGGAGCGTAAACTGGCAGCAGAGTGGGAAGTCTCCTTGGAGTCGCATCCCAGAGGAGTGTGGAGGTGAAGAGCTCAAGGTGCTGCAGGAATCCTTCGAGGAGCACCTGGCAGTGAGCATCTCCTCCCCAGAGCGTCTGTGCCCAAGGTACCGTGAGGAGACAGGAGCGACCAAGGGCAGAGCTGGAGCTGCTCCTGGGGCAGAGAGGCACTTCGGGTACGCGGTGCGAAGGGACCAGCAGAGCTGTGTTGTCTTGGGAGGACAGATGGGCTGTGGAGCAGGACAGGGTGACGGAGGACGCTGGGCTGGCTGGGGGAGGATGAGTGCGAGGGCTAGATAATTACAGGCTGCAGGGTACAAGGAGGGTGTCACCACGCCCTGTTTGCTGCCTAGTGCTGCTATGGTCTCTTGGCTCCGTCAAACCAGGTGCATTGAGGGACTGAGTCCTGCCCTTGCCCTGCAAAGGAAACCAAGAAGTGACCCTGCACCTCCAGTGAGAGAGAAATGGGGGCAGGAGGGGAACCTGCTCCTCAATTCCTAGGCTCATTCACCTTTATTTTTTTTCATACACTCGTGCAGGAAAAAGAAAGTCTTAGGAATGCTGTGTTTCTGATAGCTAAAATGAGGCAGTTCTGTGCAAGGGTTGGGGTATTTGTGTCCCTGTTTCCACACAGGGGTTCCTGCTAGTGGTGCCTGGGGGAGAATTTCATCTAAGCGGAGTCCCAAGTCCTCCTATCTCTGTATCCCTCTGCACCTTTCTGCCCTGATTTCTTTCTATGTATTTATTAGTTCACCCAAAAGCTTTTAGCCCTGATCTTGCTCTTAATCCCACCCTTAATTCTACCTCTTCTGACAAAAGCTGTCTTGGAAGTTCACCTCGTTGCTGGTACATCCCTAGATGTTGTTTAGCTCCCTCTGCTCTGCCTATCCCCCTCCTTTCTGTCTCCTTTTTGTGATCATCCCTTACCTTCTGGCTGACATTACACCAGCTGAACCCAGTGGCTCTCATGGTCCAAGCACAGATGGGCTCCCACAAACCTGGATGTGTTGTTAAGTGATTTCCAAGGGAAA